GATCCCACAACATCAAGATCACAACCTGAGCTGAAACCCAAGAGTCAGCTGCCATCCAGGCACTCCTTATTTCACATTTCTTATCACCTCAAGGATGTCCCATTCTGTTCCTTTTTATATAAAGTTTTTCTTGTTCTCATGAGTGCCTATTAAATTTTATTAGTTTTGGACACCTATTGAAATCATCATATGATTTGTCTCCTATTTTCTTAGTTGATGAATTAAATTAATTTTTAAATATAAAACTAACTAGATATTCCTGAAAGAAATTTAGCTGGACCATGGTATGCTTTCTCTGTGTTTCTGGTTTTCGTTTGGTAATACTTTTGTTTTAGGTTTTTTATATTTGTGTCCATGAGAAAGATCGACTAGTAAGGGTTTTTTTTTTGGGGGGGGGGTGGCAGAAGGATATGTTCTTATTAGGATTTAGTATTTAGTATCAAGGATATGTTGAATTTATAACATAATTCTTGAGTATTTCCTCTTGCTTTCTCTATAAGATTTTGTTTTATTTTGTTGCTACTTCTTAGGTATGATTAATATTTGAGGCCAGCTGTGCCTGGAGTTTTCTTCATGGGAAGATTTCTTTCTTTCTGTCTCGTTAAGGAAGTTCTGTGCCTAGCATGGGAGTTGAACTCACAAGATTGAGATTGAGAGTCAGATGTTCCATCGACCAAGCTGTCCAGGCACCCATGGGGATATTTTAAATTATCGGTTCATTTTCCTTAATAGACATGCAGCATTAGATTGTCTATCTGTCTGTCTTTGGTGGGCTCCACATCCAGCATGGAGTCTAATGCAGGGCTTGAACTCATGACCCTGAGATGGAGACTTGAGCCAAGATCAAGAGACAGACACTCAACTGACTGAGCCACCCAGGTGCCCCTAGATTTTTCTTTTTGTGAAAAATAAGTTTTGGGGCACCTGGATGGCTCAGTCAGCTGAGCATCTGCCTTTGGCTCAGGTCATGATCCTGGGGTCCTGGAATCGAGTCCTGCATCAGGCTCCCCACAGGGAGCCTGCTTCTCCCTCTGCCTGTGTCTCTGCCCCCTCTCTGTGTCTCTCATGAATAAATAAAATCTTTCCAAAAAAAGTTTTGACATGTAGTTTTTTTCTTTGAAAGTGACCTTTTTCCTCCAGTTTTCAAATTTATTGGTCCATAATTTCTTCACTATATTTCCATAGACCACAGGACCTGTATAGGGATGTTCTTTCTTTGTGCCAGGTATTGGTGAATGAGCCTTTCTTCTTTATCACTTGATTAGTTTTGCCAAAGAACTGTCAAGGCACAGACTTGGTTTTGTCCTCTGTCTTCCTACCGTATGTAGGTATTGTAATTCATTGTTCATATATTAGCTATAACTTGCTCTTTTTCTTTAAAAAAAAAAAACAGATACTGATTTTTTTAATGTTTTTTTTTAATTTTTTTTTTATTTATTTATGATAGTCACAGAGAGAGAGAGAGAGGCAGAGACACAGGCAGAGGGAGAAGCAGGCTCCATGCACCGGGAGCCTGACGTGGGATTCGATCCCGGGTTTCCAGGATCGCGCCCTGGGCCAAAGGCAGGCGCCAAACCGCTGCGCCACCCAGGGATCCCTTACTGATTTTTTTTAACTGTTTTCTGGTATATACTACTAAGGATTCATTTTTTTTTTTTCTAAGCATAATTTTGTAACTGTGTCTCACAGGTTTTGGTATGTCATATTTTTGCTAATTCACCTAAAAATATTCTCTAATCTAGAGGTGCCTGGGTGGCTCAGTCTGTCTTTTAATCATGAAAACATCTGAAACTGTCTTTTTCCATGGTCTTCAAGACCTTCAATTGATTATTCAATCCTATTTCTGGTTATTGGTCTTTCACTTTTCTACCCTTTTCTGAAGCCATTTTGGTAATTCCTTAAGGTTTCTACCCAAAACATCTGTTTCTTTAGGGATTTCATGTGATATTCTCTTCAGAAAAACAAAATATATTTCATGGATATGTGAGTGTATCTCCTATATTTCCATAGATAGGTGACTCTGTATCTTCAAGTATCCTCATATTTATAGTTGTATTTTCTTTAAATGTTGCTTTTCTGGCATTTGGTGCTAAAAAAGATAAATGATTTCTTAAAGAGTCATCTTTGGTCATTTCATTCTTTTAGGCCTCAGTGTCACCTTATCTGCTGTGAGTTAAGCCAAACCATCTTTTATTTTGCTTGTATATTTTTTAAAGATTTTTTTTATTTATTAATTTGAGAGAGAGAGAAAGCATGAGTGGGGGAAGGAGCAGAGGGAGAGGGAAAAGCATACCTCCCACTGAGCAGGGAGCCTAACATGGGGCTGATCTCAGGACCCTGAGATCATGACCCAAGTGGAAGGCAGACACTTAACCGACCGAGCCACCCAGGCACCCCTATTTTGCACATATATATATTTTTTTGTTTGTTTGTTTTTGTTTTTGCAGTGTATTTGATATTTGCCCATTATTTTGTTTTCTTTTTTTTTTTTTTTTTGATCTTATAAACAACTTGTGGCAGGTTTTGTTTTCAAATCAGTTATGTTTGTCATTGGTAAGAAATTTAGCACATTCATATGCCATCTTATAGCTTAGGCTTTTCGGGTTTTCTTTTATAATTTTGTTTGCTGTATATCCTAGTATAACATCATTAACTCTTTGTGTGTTCTACTTAATTATAGTTTTTGTCATACATTCGATGTATTTTTTCACTGCTAGTCAAATTTATTTTCTTTTTTTCCTAATTTGATAGATTGCTGCTTTCTAGTTTTGATTATGAGGACATTACTGTTATAATAGAGTCTGTATTTCTCTGTTAATGTATCTTTGTTGAGTAATGTTTTATCAAGATCTTTTGATTTTCCATTTCTTCTCTTTGATCCAAGCTAGAAAAGAACATCAGGAAGATACTACATTTCCACGTCACTCCCAAACAGGTGTTTTGGTTTTGCTGTGGTATTTCAGAATCTTGTGTTTTAGTCTGTTAGTTTAATGAACAGTCTATCAATTTTATGCCAAGAACTTAACATGTATTATAATTTACAAAAAACATTTTTTCTCCGTTCATTGAGGTAAACTGCATATAACTTAAGTGCCAAGTCTGATGAGTTTTTATGTGTGTGTATATACACGCATGTACGTGTGTATATGCATGTGTGGGTGCATGCACACACATATACCCCTTAATTTTTTTTTTTTAAGAGGCGGAGAGAGAGAGCATATGCATGTGCATGAGCAGGGGAGGGGCAGAGGGAAAGTGAGAAAGAGAATCTCCAGCAGATTCCCCCGTTGAGTGCAGAGTCTGACTTGGGGCCCAATCTTACAACCCTGAGATCATGACCTAAGACAAAATCAAGAGTCAGACTCTTAACTGACTGAGCCACCCAGCCACCCCTAAATTGAACCATTTTTGCTGTAGGTATATGTAAAAATCCGTTATAATATTGAGGAAATTCCTTTCTAGTTTACCAAGAGTTTTTTCTTTTTTTAAATCATGCTTTTGTGTTTATACTCACATGAACATACCATCATTTCTTTGTTTTTAAAACTATTCATTCTTATACTTCTTTACACCCTCAGGAAATTCCTTCATGGCCTGTTCTTTCTCTTTAAGCCAGTTAAAAAGTGATTTTTCCTCATCTTGCATTCTTGATTATTTTCAGTGTCTTCTCTGAGAGCCTTGATTCATTGTCAGTGACTTCAAACACTACCGAATTGTTGTTTGTCAAATCCTTATTTTCATTCTAGACCTACAGTATTAGGCTTCACATTTAAGATACATCTTGTTAAAATACAGTATCCAACTTCTTTTTTCCTGAGTTTCCTTGCTTATGTTGTGATACTTGTGTTTATACAGCTGTTTGTGCATATACCCTGAGGAAACTTTCTGCCAATGATTGTTGACCTTGTTCTACCACTCTCTCTCCTTTTGTCAATTCCGTTTGCTTCACGGTTTTTGTTATAATAGTTATGTAAGTGGTGGTTTTTGTTCTTTAGCTTTCCCTTTCCTTTTCTGAGAGAATTAGTTCTATAAAGAAAAGCCTGGTCACATAATTTAAATATACACTCAGATCTCTTCTCTGGTTCCCCTTTCTTTGAAACAGTGAGTGCTAAAGAAGAGGTATGCACTCTAAATGATATCCCAAATAATCCAATTGGATGTCTTCTGTATGTTCTACAGCAATTTCAAGTGTGGTAGTTCCAAAATCTTCCCTTCTCATTTTTACACATCTTAATTATCATCTCTGAATCGAAGACTTAGAACCTAGAATATGTATTGCAGTGAAATAAAATATTAAGCTGACTTTTTACATTTTAAAATTGAGAAAAAATTTAAAAATTTCATAAAATATATTAGTTTATTTCTATAATTCATAAATATAAACTTGTGTAGTACTCAAAAATATTGTTTAAGGTAGGAAGTGATCACATGCTTTGGAGGCTTGGTCTAAAATTACTCTGTAATCCTTTCCATTACTTCTCTTATGGCCCTTTCTGTCATCATAGCTCCAAGCTAGGTCCTCAACTTTTCCTGTGCTATTTGCCCTTTGTTCATTTCCTGAATGTATTAAAGGAGCTTTGCCTTTGCTTGTCATGGCGCTGTGTTCATGAAGAGCATGGTATTACTGTTTCTCCAATAGCTGTTGTTCAGTGAAGCTCAAAATAGAACTTAGTTTTTCCTTATGTAATCCATCTGCTGTGTACCTTCACCTGAGCAGTTATACTACTGCATGTTTCCTTACCAGTTTGTAAGCTACTTGGATACAAGAGCAATTTTATTAATCTTAGCATTTCTCAGTTAAACTAGCAAGGTCCCAGATACATTGTGAGATTTTATAATTTTTATGAATTAAGGCAATTGCATTAATATTTTGCTTATGGTTTCTCATCCTCCCTTAAAGAATAAAGCCAAACAAATATTCTACAAACTATTTTGGTAATCATGGTAAAGATTGGTTCCCATACAGCTTTTTCCATGTCACCCAATTCTGAACATTGCAGATTGAACAGAAATCCCAGGGATCAGTATCATTTAAGGATGTGACAGTGGGCTTCACCCTGGAAGAGTGGCAGCACCTGGACTCAACTCAGAGGTCCTTATATAGAGATGTGATGCTGGAGAACTACAGTAACCTTGTCTCACTGGGTAAGGTCTGTTTTTATGTAATTCTAAATAGCATGTTTTAATTCTTTTAGTTATGAAGCATATTGACACTGTAGAGTTTAATGATATTTAATATTGGAACTCAGGAATCTGTTGATGATCCCTTTTGGGCACCAGAAAGGTATTTGTGTTTACCTCTCAGTGAAATGTTCAGTAGCATCTTCACTGAGCAGCTCCAGAAGTTTCCTCCTCTTTCAGAGGCTCTGCAGTCTAGACCATCTGGTCTGAATCCTATTTTTTTTTTTTCTATTTTGACAGGGTATTGTGTTACCAAACCAGAAGTAATCTTCAGGCTAGAGCAAGGAGAGGAGCCATGGATATTGGAGGAAGAATTCCCAAGCCAGAGCTTCCCAGGTAGAATAAATGTATACTCTACAGATGAACATTGGGGGATTTACTATTTTCCCATGACTAATCCAGAAGTTGAAAACTTTGAGATGTTTTTTCAAGAATATCTCTTTAGAATATCTCTTTAATCCTTGAAAGTAACTGGGAATACTGATTTTTGAACCAAATCTCCAGATACGACTCTTACAAAAAAAAGTTCTTTTTGATTCACTTTTTGAGTATTTACCATCCTTAACATCTGTCAACAGACCAGCCTTTGTACCCTACCTCATCTTTACTGTTGTTTTTCTTCATTGCTCTGTTTCTCAAAGCAGTTTCGGTTGTCTACCTTACCACCATTGCACCGCATTCCTCCCATCATCATGCATTCTTTCATATGTTCTTTTTTTTTTTAGTCAAATAAGGTTTGAGTACTTACTATTGTCTAAGTGCTATAGTACTGAAAGAAACAAATGTTGATGAGTTTATACAAGTAGTAGTGGCCAACAAATATATGAAAAGATGGTCAACATTACTAAACATCAGGGAAATGCAAATCAAAACCACATATCACACCATTTAGAATGGTTAGCACCAAGAAGACAAGACATAAAAAGTGTTGTTGGGGATGTGGAGAAAAGGGAATCCTTGTTCACTGTTGGCGGTGAGTTAAATTGATGCACTACTATGAAAAACAGAATAAAGATTACTCAAAAAGTGAAATCTAGAGCTATCATATGACCCAGTAGTTCCATTTGGGAATACACTGAAAGGAAATGAAAACAGTATATCAGAGAGAGAATACGCACACTCATATTTATCACAGCATGATTCACAATAGCCAGATACACAAACAACCTAAGTGTCCACCAGTGCATGAATAGATAAAGAAAATAGGTACGTGTAAATAATAGAATATTATTCAGCCATGAGAAAGGAGGACATTCTACCACTTGCGACACGGAGGGCTTGAGTGCATTATGAGAGAAGTCTAACAGAGAAAGACAGATACTGTATGGTATCACTTATATGTGTAATCTAGAAAAGCCAAACTTATTATAAAAGAGAGTAATAACATGGTGATTAACAGTGGGTGGAGAGATGTGGGAAAGGAGAGATGTTGTTTAAGGGTATAAAAGTGTAACAGGTAGTAAATAAGCCCTAGAGATCTAATATACCACATAGTGAATATAAACAATATTGTATTATAATAACCAAATTTGCTAAGACACTAGAACTTGATTATTCCAATCATTAGTAAGAAATGGTAATTATGTAGCATAATAGAAGTGCTTTTAGTACCATGGCAATTATACAGTATATAAATATCAAATTAACAGGTTGTACATTGTAAATTTATACAGCTTTATGTCAAATATAAATTAAAAGCATAGCACTAAAACCAGATACTTATGTGTATTAAAGCTCTGTAGTGGTAAAAATTATCCTAGAAATTAGATCAGAGTTAAATGGACAGTGCTACTCTAAGAAGAGTAGTCAAGGTAAACCTTAAGGAGATCACCATCAGAGTAGAATTTGAATGAAAGGATTGTGTGAGCTGTGGAGATCCTGCCTCTTCTCTGCAGAGGTAGTAGCAACTGCTAAGCCAGTGAGCAGGAATATGTTTGGTTTTTCTTGGGAAATAGCAAAAAAAAGGTCACAGTGGCCAAAGGGGAATGATTGATGGGAGGTGGGGTAGGAAATGATGTCAGGCAGCGATGGTCCAAAAGATGAATATCATAAATCTTACTAAAGATTTTAATTTTATTCTTACTAGTGTATTTTGGTAAACAAGTGACATCTTATTTATGTGTATAAGATCTTTCTTACCTCTACAGAGAAAATATTGGGAAGAACCTAAGTACTCAGATAGTTCACTAGAGGACCCTTGTGGTTTTCCTGAAGGGTGATCAAGGTCATTTAATCAAAATTGGAAGGCATAGAGGTAATGAGAAGAGGTTGGATTCTCTCTGTACTTGGATTAACTAAGGAACTAACATTTCTATTGTCAGAGGAACAGAAAGGGACAAGAAAGTGGTACTGGAAGTATTTAAAGGACTAATGATTAAAAACTTCCCAAATTTGGCAAAAGGCATGGAAGTACTCATTGAAGAATCTGATTGAACTCAGAGAAATCCAAAGATATCCACACTAATGGCATGTCATCAAATTTATGAATACAAAAGAGAAAAAATTGTGAAAGTTAGAGAGAAATGAACTCATTTCCTTTGGAAATAATAGTGGATTTCTCATCTGAAACTACGGAGGCTAGAAGGAAATAAAATATTTTTTTCCAAGTACTGAAAGAAAAGAACTTTCAAACAAAACTTCTGTGGCTTGTGAAAATATATTCATGAAAGAATGACAACTGAAGGTATCATAGAAAGGAAAACAAAGAGAAAATGTTGGTAGCATACCTATCTTTTAAAAATGGCTAGAGGAAAGAAAAAAAAATTAAAAAATTAAAAAAATAAAAATGGCTAGAGGAAGTTTCCAGAGAAAGGAAATAACACAAGAAAACTTGGAACCTCAGAAAAGAAGAAAAAAAAAAAACATTGGAAGTGGCAAAAATAGGGGTAAATATAGTGGAATTTTTGTCTCAGGAGTTTCTGTAATCATATTTGATTGTTGAAGCAAAATTTAGAATATCATATGATTTGATGTTCTACATGTGGAGGGAGTGATATAATTTAAAAGATAGAATACAGAGATTTAATTGGAATTAAAGTGTTATAATTCCTTTGAAGTAGTAAGATGTTGATCCAGGAAGACTGTGATAAATTATATATGGGCATTTTACCTAGAAATGGACTTAAATACCTAGAACAACCATTAAAAAACTATACGAAGTAAACACTTAGAAATATTATAAGTAAATAAAGATGGAATTTAAAAAAATGTTCAGGTAACCAGTAAGAAAATAAATTAGGAACAGATGAATGAGAAAACAACAGAAAAATACAATGGCAACTTAAACCATGATGTTAGCAGTGTCTACTGTAAATGTAAATGATCTAAATACACCAGTTGAGGTGTAGACAGTATAAAATGATGCATAAATATGTTATTTACAAAGAAATTCACTTCAGATACAACGTAGGGAGGTTGGTGGAGAATAGAAAAAAATACACTATGCAAACATTAATGAAAACAAAAGCAATACTGACTCCATTGATATCAGATAAAACAGTCTCAAGAACAAAGAAAATCATGAGAGAAAAAGAGCAATATTCCAGCAGAAGAGACAGTGATCCAAAACGTGACCCTACCAAACAACAGAACCTCATAGTACACAAATCAAAACTGATTTAACTGAAAGGAGAAATAAACAAATTTTCAATTATATTTGGGGAATTTACTACACTTTCAGCAATTGGTAGAACTTCTAGACAGCAGATATGAATTAACAGCAGAACTGAACACCATGAACCAATAGGATTGAATAAACATTTGTGGAATACTACCTAAAAACAGCAAGATATGCATTCTTCTCAAGTGCCTGTGGAACATTCGTAAGATACAACATCCTGAGCCATAACAAACCTTAGTAAATTTAGCAGAACTGAAATCGTGCTTTGTTCTCCCAGCACAAGGAAATCAAACTATGAATCAGTAATAGAATGTCAATAGAAAAATACCCAAACCCAGAATTAAACAAGACACATGTAAGTAAAACATGAATCAAAGGAAATTTTAAAAATACACGGAACTGAATGAAAAAAAATACACCAATTTATGTGGGAGGCAGCTAAGCAGTGCTGATAGGGAAATGTATAGTACTAAATACTAACATTGGGTAAGATGAAAGGTCTCAAGTCCATAATTAATTTTCTACCTTAAGAAACTGCAAAAAAGCAAAATAAATCCACAGCAAGTAGGAGGAAGAAAATAAAAAGCAGAAATCAATGAAGTTGAAAATAGGAAAATATATAATAGAGAAACCTAATGAAACACAAAGCCAGTTCTTAGAAAAAAAAATCAATAGTATTTATAGACCTAGCAATCTTTACATACACACAAAAAAGACAGACCACCAATATTAGGGAAAAAATGGGGAATATCATTTCTGCATTCATTAATAGGATGATAATTTAAACGTTATGCTCTTAATTTGACAGTTGAGAAGAGATGGGTCAATTCTTTAGAAATCCCAGATTGCCAAAACTCAAGATGACATGCATAATTTGAAGGTTCCATAGATTATCATAGTTGACATAGATAATTTGAATTAAAGAAATTTAAGGTAAAAAGATTAAAAAATCTCTTTTGGCTGTTTTCATTGTAGAAGACTACCAAACATATAAACTTAAGGAAGAATTAACAGTGATCTTACACAGTGGCCTCCAGAAAAATAGAAACAGGGAACACTTCCTAACAGGTTTTTTGTTATTCTGATACCAAAACCATACAACAACAGAACAGGAAACAATAACAAATCTATAGACCTATATCTCTCATAAATTTACTAAAAGCAAAATTCCTTAACAAAAATTAGCAAATAGAAACCTGTCATGTATAAAAAGCATCATACACTATGACCAAGTAAGATATATTCTGAGTATGCAAGTTGGTTCAACATTTAGAAACCAATCAGTGTAATCCATTATAGGCTAACAAAGATGCTATTATACATAGAATTGCTTTATTAATTTTGTTTCAGTTTGTTTATTGCAGGTGTGTAGAAACACAGGTGATTTGGGACTGGTTATATTGTAGTCTGCAACTTGTATGAATTCATACATTACCTATGGTAGCTTTCTTGTAGGTTCCTTAGGATGATTTGTAGTTATAGGGAACCTTCCTTACTCTTTTTTTAATATCAAAAGCAGATAATGACTTTATAAGAAAGAAAAAGTACAGATATTTCTTATGAAATCCAAATAAAATCCAAATAAAATTCAACCATGTATAATAAGCATTACATACCATGGGCAAGTAGGATTGATTCCAGACATGCATGCAAGGTTTGTTCAACATTCAAAACTCAATTAATATAATCCATCCCATGAGTAGGCTGCAGAAAGAAA